GGTGTGTAGTGGGTTAGAGAGAGAAGAGAGGTGGTATTGTGGATGGAGGGAGGAGGTGTGTAGTGGGTTAGAGAGAGAAGAGAGGTGGTATTGTGGATGGAGGGAGGAGGTGTGTAGTGGGTTGAATGGGCTTGTTTAGAAAGTTAATGGGCAGCTGTAAGGAGAAAGAGAGGAGAGGTTCTAACCAACTCTGAGGAGGAATCGGGAAAATGCAGTGAGGAAGAAGCGGGTTGAGGGATGCTAGGGTCTTCACGTGTGCAGGCCGCCTAGGGAGATTGGATGTGAGTGACAAAGAGGGAGAGGGGATCGGCTGTGGTGTTTTCACGAGGTAGATCAATTCAACAAAGAGAGGCGGAATCAGGTTTCGGTACAAGCAATGGGTAGATCATCTGGTAGCACTCGATTTGGATGTGGTTCGGACATGAGCTTGTGGAGTTCGGTGAGATAGAACAGCGACGGGGATTTAGAATGGTTGTGTAAGAAGGGGTCAATTAGGATTGGTACAGTAGAGGAAGAGGTGCGAGGCAGTGGTCGGATGCGATGAAGGGTTGTATGATCGTGAAAGGAAGGTTGCTGGTGTTTGGGGAGGTAGTAAGGTTGGCTGGAGTCCGATGTGTGCAAGTATCGAACAGAGCGACAAGCAGAGAAGGACCATGTTCGGGAACAAGAGCCGAAGGCTCCTCTTCTCTTCCTTTTATTAATTAAGAGCAGAGCATAAAAAGAGCCCTAGCGACGTTGGCATGGGATTTGTAAGAAGTTTGAGGAGATATTTTCTTCTCTTATGTTTTTTATGTGGAGGTCAACATCGGTACCTCATCTCCCTCCATTGAAACCATGCCAGCGCCTTCCCATTAAGACATAGAGCTGCCGCCATTAGCCTCTCCCCTTCTGTCAACACATTCACCACAAAATATATATCCACTCTACAGATCAACCCATGAGCATCCTTGCCTTCAAAAACCGACATTTTCAGCTTCCTGACCTTCGAATCTTCCTCGCTCCAATTTACCCTTTCACCCCCCGTTCCTCCCATGAAGCGAGCATTGTGATCTCTCCCCGATTCCCTCTCCTTCCTTCTCCTTTCGTATCCCCTCTTCCTTCAAATTCAACCCGTCTGTTCTCTTATTCTCATTCACTCCTACCTTCATATTCCCTATCTATCCCCCTTCTCGGTAGAGACTCAAGGTGAGGTATTTCCTCCTCTCCTAAAATTCTCACCTCTTTGTCTTCCCTTGGCATGTCATCTTCCTGATTCTCCCTTGCTTCTGGCGGTGCCACTTTAGTTTGAAACTCATACATCCACTTCATCATCCCCTCTATATTCTCAAACCTTCCTTCCATCGTTAAAAAACACTCATTCAATAATCCCACATCTGTTTGCAGCTGCCCTACTTCCTCCTTTGACTTTCTTCCAATGCCTCAACTCTCCTCCCGACCATCAGTCCAAAAAACTTGCTCTGATACTAATTTAATAGGATTTGTGGATCAAATTAGCACCCAAAACAGCCACTAAAACAAAATCAGCACCAAACAGCATAAAAATAGCCAACAACCAAGAAAAAACATCAATGATATACATGAACAACATTAATAAAGCTGAAATAATAATCTTCAATCAAAAGAAACACAATATACAATTGATTCAATATTCGAGAGGTGAAACAGCTCTCCCCTAATTCCTAGCAACAACTAGGAACCCAAAACCACCCAAGAAAACTACTCTAGAGAATTATTTACATCATCCCCCAACATACAAACTTTCCCCCTTAAAAAGTCATAATCCCACCATAAATGCACCTCACATTTCCTCCAATGACCTCCTCTTAATCCTTCTCCTCATATAAGTTTAAAATGGGGGGATGGGACCCACAAAACAGGAGACTTTTGACTCCTAGAATTCCGCCTACCCACCCTAACCTGGAGTGGTGTCCACAGCCGCGTCAGATATCTAAGATTATAATGTAATTTTCAGGAGAAAGGTGTTTTTATGTGTATTTTTAGGGTGTTGATTACTTCCAAATTAGCCAACTTCAACTACATCAATTTATTGATGGTTTTTTGAGCTCCTATAAATCATGAATTGACCAGCAATGACAAAGCTAGCTAATGCAAGGGGTGGCCTTTCTTTGATTCGATAACATAATTTACATTTATGCAATGTTTATTTTATTTTCCAGATCTATATTAAGTTAATATGTCATTTCATTGAGTTATCTACCATTATGGAAAATTGCGCCAAAACTCTAAATGCAGTATTAACACGCAAATTCACTCATTTCAGAACAAAGGCAATTTGTTCATGCTTAACATCATAGAGCAGATCCTTCTAGAATCCTCGTTATCTATTGCTTGTAGTCTTGTACTAAAGTAGAAATTAATTTCTAGACCTCCAATTATTCAAAATATGACTTCAGAGTATTTCCCATACTTGCAATCTATAGAATTTAAATTGTCACATATGACTGTGAATGGACACTTGCCATACTTTATTAGCATAAAAAATCCTTTTGAGGAACGGACACATAATGAGAGAATTTATCACAACTCAATGCTAAGGTTATCACATGACTGTTGTGCACACAAATCAGATGGTTGTCTCAGGATCCAATGAAAAATCCATGCATGCTTCATTACATTCACTAACAAAAAAAGAATAATATTGCCAAATTATAGATATTGTGTATCCAAAGCAAGGTTTTATTAATCATGGAGAGCCGTAATGGTTATACAAGAACCATACAGTAAGAATGACAACTTTAAAATAAAATAACAAAGAATGACAGAACTACCATTTATATAAACGGTGGTACAAAAACTATACAACGAAGAATGATATAGCTAGAATATCTAAGAATGCAAAAGTTGGGTGCACAAAAATTCATGAATGCTTCATTACATTATGTAGATCGAACTAACTTACTGAAGAATTTCCATAATTCTTCAAGCACATAAGACACTGTACTCCTCCACCATCAAGCAGATCGAGCATAGACTTTGAAGCAATGCATCCACAATGTAGACGCTGCAAAAGATATGTTAATAACCGAAAGCAAAGAGACAAAATGAAACAGCAAGAAATGAAAATACATAACGTTTAAAAAAAACTGCACCTTGCCACAAAAAGCACATTCCCTCCATCCAGACTCCTTTTGGTGGAAACTTTCACAGAAAACTAGCTTCTCATATGCCAACCTAGATCGAGAGACAATTGTGCAACAATCATCAAGCAAGCTAATAGAAAGAGAATGATAAAACACAAAGAGAGGTTACCAAACAGGATTACTCCTAGCTTTTTAATTTTCTTAGATGACTGACCAGATCTTACTAAACAATGACCGCAGCACAGGAAAGTGTCCATAAATGAGACAATTGATAAACATTTATGAAATATTTAAGTGTTAATAACACTTTAACTCCATTGGTTATCATAACAAGCATATAGCCCTCATATGGTTTAAAAACATGCGGATAAGCTTCAATTATTTCCAAGCTTCTGAAAAATGGACCGAACAGAACCGGAAGAAGGAGAAGTTTAGGATTCAATTGGTTGGCCGGGGTTGAACTAGATAACATAATAAATATAAAAATTATTTAAATAAAATTTAAATAATAGAATGAGCATGAAATAATATAAATTTTTTATTAAAAAATGAATTGAATTCAAACATAAATAATATCTTATGTAATTTTAAATTTAAATATAATGATTAATGTCATTTACTTGGAACCATGTGAAATGCTTAGTTGGATTTTCTTTATTTAAAAATTAAACATTTTAAATTTAAATTAATTTGTTAAATTATGAATATTACTTAAATATGTTATTCTTTATGTATTAAATTATTTTATTTAATTGTTTAAATATTATTGAAATTGAATTAACCGGTTCAAGGAAACCGACATCGGTTCACTGGTTTGCCGGGGTTTTCGCTGATTCATCCCAATTTGATACAAAATCGGTTGTCAGGCTAAACCAAAATGACTTGTTGTAGACCGGTTCACGGTTGAACTGGTCAGACCGGCAGGGCATATACGATTTTTGAAACCCTGTTTATTTCTGCTAGTTATCTTTTCCATCCAAGATGATGACGAATAAGTCATTTTTGCTAAAGATACTTCAGGATAACTTTGATACAGAATCAACTTGACAATCAATATGACCTACCTTTTTTTTCAATATGACCTACTATGATACCAAATTTACTCGAGAATAATGATGCTGACCCAATAGGATTTTCTAAAGTTGTTCCAAAGGCAAAAGGTCTAGAAATTTTCTATGAGAACAAATCTAAGTATATGACAATAACAATAAGAAGATCAAGGAATGTAAAGGATCATCAATATCCTAATCTAATTTTCTATCGTATAAGCCTTCCTTCGCCTGTCTTTTCCACTGTTTGTTTGTCATTCCTCTTTATTTTTCCTCTGAACTCGCCGAATATTGTAAGGAAATTCACTGTAAACAACAAACCCGAGACGAAAACAGCAACAGGAGGTTTCAGTTTCCTCCCTAAATGATGTAATCAAGTATGATTCAAGGCATGTTGAATTCCTCGTCTTGGCGGAACAACTACAAGTAGAAATCAAGAAGAATAAAGTTAATGACTTTTAATCCTGGGACTGGGAATCAGTGAGATTTGGAGAGGAAGACATATAATAATTGATTCAAAGCCTAATTATTATTTATATTTATTACTATGTAATTCCCTGTAGCCGACCCCACGTAGTGGGATAAAGGCTTGATGTTGTTGTTGTTGTTGTTGTACTATGTAATTCCCTAACAAATAAATCAGAAAATTACATGAAAATTTAAATCTAGCCTAAAATAGAAAAGATTGATAATTCCTATCTATTTAGATAAGACAAGTTCCTATATAAATGCTTATCACATTCTTTGAAAATACCTAGAAGAATATTACTTAGAATTATCTGCTAAAATGAAGAAGATTTTTGGAGAGTTGTATTGATTCCATTAAATTCCTCCTAATTGGTTGCCCCACCTTTTAGGAAATTGAAATTTGGCTTGAATTCAGTCATGACTTTGCATGTGTTTATTGTCTTATCTACAACCTCCTTGTATGATGCCACAAGTTCTAATGGTATGGCATGAATTGTGGAATTAATTATGACTTCTTCAAAACTTGAAATAAACTCTTCATTTCAACATCCCTGTTTTTTGAATTTAAACAATGTAGACTTCTTATTTTCAACCTCTTTAGCACAAATTAAAATCCCACTATTATACCTGTTGAAGCACATTTTCGTGTCGACCTGACCCCGAGCGAGCCCGACTAGGCTCAATCGATTCGATCGAACGCATCTGAAGCAAAATCGGGCCCTGATTTGTTGAGATGAAATTTTAATTTCATCAAATTAGCCTCATTTTAATTAAATTAGATTTAATTTAATTTAATTAAAATCAAAACAAATCAAATCAAGCATAATCGAGCCTCGTCGAGCCAAATTCGACGTAATTCGACGCCAATTCAAGTCTAATTTTGTAAAATTGACTTGAACGGCCTTAAACGGACTCGAATCGACTCAAATCGGTTCGAATCGGTTCCAATTTGGGCTCAACATTATCCCAATTGATCCTTCCAAATCAGTCCTTGCATCCAACGGCTAGGATTTACCTGATTTTCAAATTTTGCGGCCGTTATTCGTCAAAACTTCGATTCCCACGGGCGGCTACAGCAGAGAGATCGCGGAGATCTCTTATCTCTTGCAGCAGAAGTCTCATCCTACGGCAAAATACTCGAGTAGGCATGGGCATGTCTGTCCCATATGGAGAGGGAGATCGAAAGGGGAGCCTCATTCGGCTCCCCCGTGCTTGTCCGTCCCGATCAAGAGAACAAAGAGAGCGGGAGAGAAGGAGCGAGAGAGAGGGAAGAAAAGAGAGAACCAAGCTTCTCTCTTGCTTAGGCGTATCCAGCCGAAGGGGAGAAGAGGGTCAGTTGATCCTCTGCGTGCGTATAGGAGACCCGATCGTGAGGAAAGAAGCAAGCATAGCCGAGAGGCTCTGTCCGTGCGTGCACCTACGTCCGATCAGGCGAGTGAGGAGCTCCAGGCGTCTACAGCTAGGTGCTTGTGGCGATCAAACAAGAGAGTCGAGCGAAACTAGGTACTGATTCAAGAGTTCGCTGATATCTTTCTCCTCTCTCTCTCAAGATCAGGAGCAAAGGGGCTGCTATAATGAGTCTCTATTGCAACAAGTGAAGGTAGGAAGCCTTTACTTCATTCCAAATTGTTAACCTTCAGATTATACCCAACAACAAGCAAAGAAAAAGAGAAATCAAAATTAAAAAAAAATCCACGTCATCCACAAAACCTGCAGGAATCCCGCTAACCTGCAAACGGTGCTGTTCGTGTATCATTCCCGGGATTCCAGCGCAAATCCTGCGACGTTGCCTCGATCGAACGACCACAGGCGTCGTTAAATAGAAGCCGAGCTCCTCATTCCCACTCCCTCTCCACGCTGCTCTCTCCCACGGCTTCCATTCGCACTCCAGCTTCTGCTCCAAACTCCCTTCCTCCTCCGACTCCACACACACAGAGCCGGAACTCTGTTCAGCTCCCGACACCCTATCCCGCCAATCTCCTCACTCAGCCGAACACAAACCCATCTGCCTTCCAAAATTTACCTCGGAACTTATTCAGTTAAAACTCCCTCGCCGAATAAAAAGAAAAAGCGAGCGGAGGCCGGGACCAAATTTTCGGAGCCCATAGATTTCTGGCGACTCCGCTGGGGATTGGTTTCTCTTTCCATCTTTGGCTAGTCGTCTCAGTATTATAGTAGCATCCATATCGATCTGTACTTAAAATTTTAAGTATCCTAAGAATGATCGTTCAAAAAAAAATTTTCATTGAGATAACGTATTTAGCAGTATTTTAGATTTATATTATTTGAATTGCTCGCTAATGTTATCTTCTCTTATTTTTGTGTTCTGTGCAAGTCTCTGCATTTTGAAAGTGCGGGGTGATGTATCAGATTCTGATTACTAACCCTTGCCTTTCATTTATGCAGATGGATCTACAGAACACCCCGATGACCGTCCAGCTGGGACGAGGAGCCAGGATTCAGCTGGCTAATGTTGTCATTGAGACCGGAAACACTGGAGCTACCATCCAATTCGATAGTGTTGACTTCCCTGCTATCGTTGCAAGAGCTTTCGAGGCTCCTACTCGTCGCACGCATCTGCCGGCGCTGCGACCCGTTAGTGAAGCTGTCACCCGTCGTGTGCATCTGCCGGCACAACGACCTGTTGCTGAAAATCCTCGTGGGAGGGTTTCTGTATTTGAAAGACTTTCTCAAACTGAGGCCCCATCAACCAAGAGGATTGTAGCTGACGGAAGAATCTCAGTGGTGACTGTCAACACCACTACTTTGCCGACAAGGTTATCTGCCCCTAGAGAATACAATGCTGAAGTCTCCTCATCTGGAGGGAGGCCTACGAGAAGACAAAGGAGAAAGATGAATGCTGAACTCCGAGCTCAGCAACAACAGCTCCCTATTCACCCTTTCAATCTGCCAACCCAGGTGCCTGAAGCCAATGTTCCTACCCGGAACAAGTTTTCTGATTTAAAATGGGTGAAGAGGAATAGCTCCACTGGTGAGCTAAAGAAGTCCTTCTGGGAGCAACGACGTGAAGTCCCAGTCCCTCCTAGGAGGAATGAACCTGAGACCTTATCAGCCCGGGTCTATCGGGTCTTGAAGACCGTGAAGGAGAAAGGTCTTAAGAAGAAGAAGTTCCAACGGCCTTTAGTGATCGAGGCCAGGAGAACCCCGCCAAGAGAACGTCTATCTGTTGTGGCGGAAAGAAGAGAAAGAAGGTATACCCCACGCGGTGAATATCGGGGTGTGACACCTGAACCATATGTTCAGGGATCCACCGCTGAAAGGTCCCGATGGAAAGGAAAACAAGTCTGGAGGCCAAAGCCTCGGAGAAATGAAAAGAAAGAAGAGAAGGAAGAACGGATTTGGGCGTGACATCCGGTTCTGCTTCCCGGAGATCCGCCCCCGTCAACAAACAACATCAGAAGTGGGCCCCTAAAAGGACCCATAATGACACTCCTTCCCGGAGATCCGCCCCCATCAACAAACAACATCAGGAGTGTCGGACGCGTGTTGTGTCGGATATTGCACGCCTCTTTGAGTAGAAGTGTCGGTGCATCATAGTTTATTAGCCTTTATT